CCTTCTTATGCACTGGAAACATCTCAGCTGATTTCCAGCAGGAAGGAATCACCCCACTGGAGAGGGACATTTCGACCAGAAGGCAGAGATGAGCCACCAGGCTATCGATGTGTTGCTTGAGAAAGACGGAAGGAACTCCGTCAGGTCCAGGCTTAAATGAAGACTTCAGTTACGAGCCGCCCTAGTTATCATAGCGAGGTCGATGTTGATAGCTGCCAAAGATTGACCAGACATTAGAACATTACTGGCTGCTAGAGAAACGTGCACGTCATGTAGGTTCTCATCCGAGAATATACTCGCAAACTTGGTTGAGAACAGACGGCAAATTTCCTGAGGGGATGAAGCTTCTTCGCCGTTCAGAACCATAGTCGATGGAAAGCCAGACTTCTTTCGTTGTTCATTCACATAATTCCAAAAAGTTTTCGGGTGAGATCGAAGCTTCCGTTGAACATCACGTTGATAACGCCGATAACATTGGCGGCTGGTTCGTTGATACGCATGATTGATCCTCGCATAATGGTCCTTGAATTGTAGGGTGTGGTACTTGGTGTATTTTCTTAGCGCGGCTCTTTTGGAATACTTTAACATACAGAGTTCACTTTTTTGCCAAGGATGATGATTACCTTGTTTAGGAACTTTTTTCGGAACGAGAGGGTTTGGGCAGCTGCATTGACATCGGCAGGGACGAGTATCTTGTGCCAGTCCAAATTCGAAAGAAGTTCCCCGATACTGTCGTGGTCAGCATTTCGGAAATCATAGGAGACCTCTAGGGGGTGTGGAATGACCTCAGGAATTTGGTTGCCTTCAAGTGCAATAACTTAAGGAGGATGGTGTGGAACAGCCATAGACAAATGCGGAGCAGTATCCTGAACGGTGACGAAGCAAAGGTCTAAGCTACGATTGTTCCCATTAACCACGTGGTTGATTTGCTTCAGAGTGGTGATACTGTAGTGATCCAAAAGGCAAACAGCTCCAGAGTGAAATGTAGAACGGTCGTGGTCTGAATACAGGAATCCACCGTAAGATGATCGCCAAGAAATTGCCGGTAGATTGAAGTCGTTGATGATTATCATCTCGTCATCAGCTGTAGCGATCTCCATTATAGCTCGAATAGACTGACTGTGGGATTCAATTAGCGTAGAGTCGCGAGTTCAATCCGGAGGAAAGTAAACTACACACAAAAACACTTCAAGATATTTGCGGAATTTTCGAAATGTTTTGGGAAGTCCTCTAAAACTGTCCAGAGGTTTTTTGTTGAAATCTTCGATACCGATCAGCTGGAGATCTTTTGAATAACTTTAGATATAACTGCTGTCTCGGAAAGAATATTTGGGAGAATGTTGAACGATTGCAGATCTTGAAAATAAAACCTCGATCAATCTGAAATAATTAAAAAATATGCAGATTTTTGCTGATCAATGCTAATACTTGATCAATCTAGAGTCCGCAAAAATATCCAGAAGACTTCGCTGAAATCATCGTTTGACACAAAATCTTTTGAATAATTCGACATCATTCTTCTGACTTGGGAGAATATCTGAAAGAAATCATTTCTGGCATAGTGGCTCCAGTGGTGTAGTGGAAAACGTATTTTTTTTTTTTAATCTTTATTTTAGAGATTTTTAGCCGAAGGCTAGTTGATCTCTTAGTCGAGAGTGTGAGGTCTCAGAAGGAGAAACTCCTACGGAGTTGTTGTACAAAATTGATTTCTTACGTTCAAACGTTTACAGTGGATTGATTCTTAATTGATTGACTAATACGGATGGGTACCATCATGAGGGCCGAGCGACTCGTCCTATGTGGTGGCCCTCCGGCTACTAAAGCTGTGAGGTACAGCCTTCCTGACTTTTCATATGGAACAGAGAAATTACAAATTAAAACACGTAACATTAATCTGAACAAAACGGCACCGTCACGAGGTCTAAAGAATATTAAGAGGGCGTCGGCAGCAGGCAAGTTATCTCCCAGGAGGTTCCGGGTGCTCGAAGTGAACCCGTAGATCTCCCTGAGATTTTCGAACTCGGGCAGACACAGAGGACGTGTTCGACGGTCACCGGAACCCCGCAGATCACGCAGTTCCTACGGAAGGGTCCTCCGTCGAAGTTGCAATATAGCCGGCAGTGTCCAGTCCTAAGCCTCGATAGGACTCTTTAATCCGGCAGATGCCGGAGGTCGGTCCACGCCTCCGTGCTTCCCTTGATCTTCCGGATGAAAGGTCCCCTGGTGCTAAACCACTGGTCGTTCCAAGCTTTCTGTAAGGTAGATTTGACCCATCACCTGACGTCTTGCAGCGGTACTTGTCCGTGAACCTGGAGCCAGATGGTCCAGATCCAGCGAAGTGAACCAGGATAAGGATTGGTTGATTCGCTGGTGATGTGGCCGCATGAAAAATTGCGGTTGCTTCTGCTGAGAAAACGGAGCATTTTGGCTGTGGTAGGCCGTTGCTAGCTAGTATACCACTTCCGGATACTTCGATGCCAACGTCCGATCTGGATCGGGAACCATCAGTGTACCGGTGTGTGTGTGTGTGATCGGCGTAGTCGGAACCAATTAGTTCTGCTACCAACCGACGCAGGGCCACGGAATTATCTCCTGCCTTGAATCGGTTCTTAATTCGGCGATCAACATTAATGCTGGAAGAGAGCCAACTCTTCTCTCCATGCCTGTGGATCCCAGCCACCTGGGGGAGGTCGACGTTGGCGATCGTACGAAAGATTCTATTTCCCTCGTCGAGGAGGAAGATCGTGTCGTTGCCAATTGTCTTGGCGACGAATCATGCGGCTTTGATGATGGTGGCATTCATGATGTGGTACCTGAACGGAAGGACCCCTGCTTCCACACAGGCTAAATCGGTGAGGGTGAAACGCAGGATGCCAGAGATGATCCGAATGCTGCTGTTGAAGGTCGGGCCTAGAATGTCCTCTTGTTTTTTTCGATGCTAGGCACGTTAGCTCGGTCCCATACAGCAGCCGGCTATCGATGATGGCGTGACACGAAAGCGGACTGCCGATTGTTGGATCGGTGGGTCTTCGAGATTGTTTTGATCAAATTGATCCGGCTTTTGCAATTCTTCTTGACCTCGTGGAAGTGAGGTACAAATGATAGCGTGCGGCCAATGAGCACACACAAGATGGCGGTTCCGCTGACTCTGCCGCGATGGATAGACGTGGCATCTCACGCTCTTCTTCGCCGAAAGCTGAAATTCTGCAGTTTCGGCCCATTTTGCGACAGCTGTAACCGCAGCTTGCGCTAGCTTCTTGGTCCGAACTGTGGTGGGCCCCGTTACAACGTCTGCATACACGAAAATGTGGATGTTCTTGGGTAGTTGGCTGAAGACGCCGTTAATGGCAATTAAGAAAAGTGTGTGACAGAGATCTCTGATCCCTGGGGGACCCCTGTTTCTTCAAGAAAGCAGCTGAATTTGGATCAGTTTCTGTAACGAGTGTTTTTCCGGCTCTCAACTTAATGTTCTAGTTATTACTTGAAAGCTTTATATGCCAACACCAATGCATGAATTTGTATATTTTGTGCCAAGCACAATGATACTCTATACCAAGGGAGAACGAGAAAATTTCCAACCCGAGCGATTTCCCAAACAAATCGATTAACGTACCCCATTATAGTCAAAATTCTAGTACAATACTATCCTTGTTTTGATTCGCTATGAAATTTTGACAGATAAAATGAGGGGTTCGAGGATTTTCCCATGTTTCGAGGGGTGCATCGATTAGCTTGGGACCGAAAAGAGTACCAGAGCTCAGCCAAAAAGGTGAGCACGTTTCTTCGGGACCTACTGGTCTTACCTCTATGGTAGTACCGTACCTCTACTGACTAGGCTGTCTGAGGCCCACATTACACACTTATAAATTATTACCGACTTCGGTAATTTCTTATCGAACCTTAAACAGCTGAATGTTCGGGAAAACTTTGACTGTTTCACTCAATTTTAATTTCAAAACACTGGCAGCCGTGTTTAAACAATCTTGAGTCTTGCAATTGTGGTAAAGTTTTCATTGTTTTGAAGCTTAAAAACTAATGAATTAAAATACCTGATTTTACCAAACAATTCAGCTGTTGAAAGTTCGGTAAAAATTACCAAAGGATGTGTCTAGTGGCCTGTTGCCAAAACTGACATCTTACTATACTGCTTAACAAAACAAACTATATTGAAACTGAAAATTATACCGTTTCGGCAACTGAAAACCGTATTTTCGACTGATAGCACCGAATTCTGCAAGAAACCTCTCTTGTAGCCCGGAACGAAACCGTTTCAGTCTGTCACAATCCGTCAAATTATGACAAATAGTCACCTTTCATCCCTTCCTTACTCTGTTGCCAAACAGTCCCTTCGATCCCGGTGACAACATCACATTGTTATTTACAACTACCTTCATGACTCACATGGCGCATGTGTGGTGAGTAACCTGAAGCCACCATCCGTCCATACTATGGCGAAGGTACCTGAGCGTAGTTATGCCATCGTGCCATCACATGCCACTCTCTGTTGCTCTCTTTTGCAATCGATACTCGAAGGCGCCTCAATTCCCAGTGAGTGTTTCTGATCATGCAGGAATTTTCCGTCCGGCTCTCTGTCTGGTCTGTCAATTTGCATTCATAGTGCAAATCTGAGGGTCGTCCATAAATGTAGTATTGCTGGAATTATTTTGTGTGCATGCATGGTTTCCTCCAAAATCTCCATTTCATTGCATCATCCATGGAACCCCCCTCTGTTGATTACAAATCCAATCAATCCCTTTTCCAGTAACCTCGCTCGCAAAAGAGAGCAACTCTCACGCCCCCATGCAAAATTATCCTTGTATTGCTCTCACTATCTGTCTCTTCTCATCATCCACCCCAAGGCACATACGATGAGCAAACAAATTGCACTTCATAGCGATTTTCCCGTTGAGTAAACGCTAGCTGTAAGAGCGCCTCAACCCCAAGTGCACGGAAGAAGTTTTCCCCTCCCGACGACGGACACCAAGCAAGCATTAGCAAGACAAACTGGCCCCAGCTAACAACGGAGAAAGAGAGCGGACGCGCGCGTGTGTGTGTATGTGCGTGTATGTGGTGCTGGTTGAAAAATCGACAGATTTTCCATCCTTCCGATTACAAATGTGCTAATTTTGCCCGTCGCGGATCGAAAATCGTACCCCAAAAGACTGCTAAGGCGCCTCCGGTGTGAAGATTTCGCGTTCACGTTCGCGTAGGAGTGAACCTCCCGATTCCGGTCCGGTTCCCGTGCAGCAGGATGGCCGACGCGGATTTCGAGGAATTTCGCCAAAACTTGGATAAGCTGCCGCCCTACAACAAGGCTCCAGCTCCTTTCTATTCGTGAGTACCCAGTAGTTTTTATTTTATTCTCCATTTCAACATCCGCCCACACTCGAAAAAGATTTCCCTGGTTATCACTTCAAGCTGGAAACGACGAATTCAATGCGGAAAGTGGTTCACGGGATCGATTCCATGGAATAATTTAGTGACATGCAGTGATGTATTTATGGGGCAGGATTAACCTTCAGAGCGAGTTTTTTGTTGGCCCTGTTTCGTGCACCTTTAATGACAAACGCACACTCATGAACTCGTGACGTAGTGATTCATGCTATTTTTATGCTGGTTCCCATCCGCACAGCTCCGGAAATCGGAAATAGTAATTACATTTACAAATAATCTCAAAACAGAAGGCGAAATGCTTGCTCATCTCGGTTGTAAACGTGGGATGTAGTGAGCAAATGGAAAACTTATGTTATTATGGAGGCAGGCAAAGCTCCCCTCCCCCTCTTAATCGCATAAATATCGAATGCTCATCGACGTTGACAGGCTGCGTGTACTTGACAGCTCTGTTTTTTTTTTCGTTGCCTTCCGTTTCAGCCTCTTGATAGCCTTATAAACATATAAAAGAGAAGACAGTAAAAACTATGTTCCACTTGCTATAAAAACTCAATCCAGAATAAGATGGTGTGCGATTGGAAAGTTCGAAATCAAAATGCATGAAGTGTTACCCTTTTTACGACACGGTTTCTCTCGATCCTCTGATGGCCAAAATGTAATGCGATTTGGCACAAAACATAATCGGTCATTGATGTTGTTGATGTTATCATTGAAAGCGATATTCCGGGAAGGGAAATAATGATTTGTTGGATCACAATCACGGAAAAATTCTATAGCCTCTCGACAGCTGTCGTCTTCAAGGGAACGTGGGAGTTTAAGTAATGGAGAAGTTGGGTCCAATTATTTTCGTCCTCAGACGACTTGTGGATTGGATTTGTTTATTTGGGATATTTTCTACGTGGCGGACGACTTGTATCAAGTTGATGCATTTAAACATTTTTGCAAAATCAAAAACAAATCCTTCATGAGAGAATGAAATCAGTAATGCGACTTTGAATGTTCATGATTTATGCAAGCTCACAGATCAACATTGATCAAGTTGTCTGTGGTCTTGTAGTTGAAATATTAAGTATTATATTACAAATTGACAAATAGCCGTTACTGATTTTATAAACAAACATTCAAACGCCAATTTGCCGAAACTGCTAGCTAATCCAAGCAAACTAGCATAACTATTGGGGTAAGCAAACATAACCAAACTTAAGTTAATTTGTGTAGTTGAACTAGTAGATTCCAAAAATTGACATTTGAATCATTGTTCACAAAATCTGATATGGCTTATTGTCTAAATATCCTTGAATTCATACATTTCATTTTTTTAATTGTGAATTGAGTCATGTTCAACCGAAGGGCCTAAGGGCCTCCTTTAGCTCAGTCGGTAAAGGCGCAGCTACAAAGCAAGACCATGCTGGAGGTAGCTGGGTTCGATTCCCGGTCCGGTCGAGGAATTTTTCGGGCTGGAAAATTTCTCGACTTCCCTGGGCATAGAGTATGATTGTACTTGCCACACAATTATACTAATGCAAAAATGGTACAGGCATCGAAAACTCTCAATTAATAACTGTGGAAGTGCATCTAGAACATAAGTTGAGAGCAATATGCGATGTGCAACAAGCTTGAAATGCGAAGAAGAAGAAGAACCGAATTCCAAACTTATTACGGTTTAATTATTAGGCATCACAGACTCACGCAGAGGTCTATCACTGAAACATAACATATGTGGAACTTCATGCAAAACTTCTAACTAAAAGCCCCGGGGATCCAATAGAAAATCCGGAACATCCGTAAAAGTAGTCAATTCATAAAACTAGGCTCTGAACTTCTAAGAAGCTTATGTAACCGGCATTATAAGTAAGATGATCAAGGTATTCCAAATGGTGATGGTGCACAAGTAAATTAGGAATTGCCTCACTATGCGGCGCTAGTTTACATGTGAACTTTTTGAATCTATAGGCTTTATCTTGAAATCCTCACCATGAAGTTCACACATAGACTATTTAGTTGTATGCCCGTGGCGAAATCCAAACTGCTCATATGCAAAAATTGAGTTCGTATTGATGAGAAGCATCATTCTATTCAAAATTACCTTTTCAAAAAGCTTACTTATTGAAAAAAGCAAACTTATTGGACGGTAGCTAGAAGCTTCAGCTGGATTTTTATCCTGCTTCAAAATTGGAACAACTTTTGCATTTTTCCATTTATCAGAAAAGTATGGTAAATGGAAACATCTGTTAAATAATTTTACCAAGAAAGACAAAGTAGGTACTCTCTGGGAGTTTTTTGATGAGTAAAAAACTCCATCATCACCTGGAGCTTTCATATTATGAAACTTTTCAGTTATAGACCTTACTTCGTCCAAATCAGTCCCCCACGAAAATATTCAGATAATCCCGAGCAACTTGATTCTCAATAGGACTAGTAAGACCTGTAACGTGGGTAGATCACCTTTTCGTGGTACGTTACGCGATGTAAGATCTACCACCGATTCCTAGTCCTGACTACTTCAAACTAGGGGAACAGGATTTTTCAGTAATCCAAGGAACACATCTTAGTCCTTGTTACTTTTTATGCCTTGTTTGATAGTGACAAGACTAGGGTTCTGATGCATGGTCATTATCGGTGTCATACCTTAATTTTGTTGCTAAGGAATCCAATTTTGACTGACAAAGGGGCGCGCCTTTGGAGGGTGTTTCAACACTCCGAAGGGTATAAATAGCGGGACCTTTCAATTAGAGTCGGATCCTTGCGATAAATGCAAGAGTGGCAACTGTAAAAAATCGAATACTTCATCATTTCTCAGTAGTGATGGAGTAATACGACATGCACTAAACTAAGGACACGGGATATACTACAACAGATCAATTTACTGGTGGCAGTAGTTTTAGGTCCCGAACAAAGGAAAAAAAAAGACCCAAACTGAAATTAAGGGAACTCTAGAATTGCTTAGCAAGTTTTTGAGCTTTTTCCGAATTTTTGATCAAAATTTTACCACCTTCTTTAAGCGCTGGAATAGGCTTTTGAGTTTTTTTTTCAAAAATTTTGTGAGTTTCCAAAAGGTTTTGGAACTCGGGTCTAATTTCAATATTATTTTCAAAAGTTTTGTTCCTCAGGGCAGAGAATCGCTTTTAAATTTGGTTTTGCAAATCCCGACCGATAACTTTCATGGCAGGATCACGTGTTCTTTGATATTGCCTCCTACGGACATTTTTCAGACGGATCAAGAGCTGAAGATTGTCGTCTATTATTGAATCGAATTTATCCTCGCATTTTGGTACTGAGGCAGCTCTTGCTTCAACTATAGAAGTAGTCAGAGATTCAAGAGCATAATTAATTTCATCTTTGGTTTGCAAATGAATGTTTGGATCGAAGTTATATTCCATAAATGTTCGATATTGCTCCCAATCAGCTCTATGGTAATTTAAAGTAGAGCTGTTGCGACTAGAAACTATTTCTTGGGATATTTCAAAAGTTACTGGAAGGTGATCAGAACCGAAGTCAGCATGGGTAACCAATGGGCTACAAAGTTGACATGAATCAGTTAAGACCAATTCAATAGTTGAGGGATTTCTTGCAGAAGAAAAGCATGTTGGGCTGTTAGAATATTGAATAGTGTAATAGCCTGCAGAACAATCATCAAACAGAATATTACCATTGGAATTGCTTTGAGCATTATTCCATGAGCGGTGTTTTGCATTAAAATCACCAATAATGAAGAATTTAGACCTATGAAGGGTAAGTTTCTGTAGGTCACCCTTGAGAAAATTCTTTTGCTGGCCTACGCATTGGAATGGCAAATATGCAGCTATAAATGTAAATTGTCCAAATTTTGTTTCAACAGTAACTCCCAAAGTTTCAAAAACTTTGGTTTCAAATGAAGAAAGAATTTTATGTTTGACTCGTCTAAAGACGCACAAACATTGGTCGACAAAAAAATCGTTTAACGGCACCGGTGGTGTAGTGGTAAGCGTGATTACCTCTCACCACAGAAGGCCTGGGTTCAATACCAGTCGGCGCCGCCGGGATGTTCTGAGGCATAACATCTCTGATCACGCCTTTCTTCGGATGGGAAGTAAAGCCGTTGGTCCCCGGTTCATGAGTTGATGGGTCGATAGGTAGGGTCCAGGTGTGGGAGCTGCCTTCCTGGCACGTCGGTAGCATTGGTGCTCAGCACGGAAAACAAGATCGACGGAAAAAACAAACCAAAGGAAAAAAAAAAAAAAATCGTTTCTTTGAGTCCGAATTTATATCACAAAAATCTTCTTATTTTTCTTTTGGTAGTTCAATTTATATATTTAAAGGAAAAAATGTTCGTTTATTCTTTTGGTTTGACAAATCCGAACTGCCGTGCCTCCCGCTTAACATCTTCCATTAAATTTTGCACAGTGGTCTCATCGACCTTATTCTCCGCCGAACGCCAGTTAGATTTAAACTGCTGCTCGTTTTCCATAGATTTATTAGTTTTTTTGGGATTCTGTTTGACCAAGGCCCAATACCGTTTGATAGGGCGGAGTTCTGTGCTGTTTGGAGGGTTGTGGTCTTTGGGTAACACAACCATGTTGTTCGCATCGTACCACTCGATTGCCTTTTTCCCATAGTGGCAGCTCGCCAAGTCTAGCCAGAACAGCACAGGTCTATTATGTTGCTTTAGGAATGGTAGCAGCCACTTTTCCAGGCACTCCTGGACGAAGATCTCTTGATTGATGGTTCCCGTAGTAATGAAAATGACGCTTTTTAGACCACACGTGCATATGGCCTGCCACTGCCAGACGAGATATTTTTTTCGGGAACTTCGATAGTTTGACGGTTTTGAAAATTTCAGCCACCTTCCCTTTTCCTGATGCGGTGTAAAACTCCTGTTCCGGAAGCTGCTTGAAATCCGCCTTCACATAGGTTTCGTCGTGAGAACGTCGGATTCTCTTGCTGCGCGAGCAAAATTTTGACAC